TATTAACAGATAAATAAAAGTTTGTTCTTAAAAATGTATATATTTGTCTTGGAATTGTAAGCAAGCACCGTAACGTTTTCTCTTGACTATTATTTCAAATTAAACATATTTTGCTGGCTAAATGATGCCTTTTGAGCTCTGTCAGTTATTTTTTAGTTAAACTGCCAATTGCTCTCGATATGTTTGACTAACGGAAAATGACATACCATTTAGTAACAAGAAAATGAAATATAAAAAACTCATCTCCAAGCCGTCCCTCCCGCAACTGAATCCTAGATTTACCACCCCTTAATTAAATATCTGTTTTAGTTATTCAGTTCACAGTGATGAAGGTTAGAATTCTGTGCTACACATGTATACAAAGTATAATAGAGGTCTGACACAAAAAATACCATTTTACCAAAGAGCAACGTTAAAGGTGTTTGACGCGTTCACCTTCAATGCGAGCTACTGTTAAATAAATAAAATATATGTTCTAGGTAAAAAACTTAAGAATCACATGCATAAATAAACGGTAGTTTACTTGGGAAACCGAAACTTTCCAAGATTAAAAATCAAGTAAGCAGATTGTAGCATCGCTGGACCACAACCACGTACCTCTATCAAATCATGCTTTGAAACAAAAACAATATGAATTTCATATACACACACTCATATAGGTATATATATACGAGTATATATAATTAAAGAGAATATCGTGTAGGTTGAGGCCCGGAAATGCCAAACCTACAACAAAACTGGCATTGAAGGTGTTGAGTGGCCGATCTACTTGGATTAAGGTAGCCCTAAACCACGGGCATATTCTCTATAATAATGGGACCAGGATATGCATACTGACCATTTGAGCATTTATTTTAGGAGTAGGGATCAATACAAGTTGACATGATTATGACTTGAATAGTATTGATCTGAGGTAAAATTATTAAAAGATTAACTAACAATACGTTGTACATGTTAACCGCAATAAAATGGCCTCCTCCATATCCCCACTTAGCCATACCCTGACCTCCTGGACGCATACGACACAGCTACTAAGATAACAGTCGACCATTTTTTCTCAAAAGCAGCGATTAATATACGTTGACTATATTATGGGTAGAGTTGCGTTAATCAGGGTTAAAATTGTGAAAAGTGAAAATGACGATATGTCGTACAAGTTAACCGCAATAAGATGGCCTCTTCTATATCCCCATTTAGCCATACCCTGACCTCCTGGACGCACACGACATTATTTCCTACACTTCTGTGTTTTTATTTATGACATTACTTTCGATTAACAAATTATGCGTACTCTTCGCAAACGTTACATACATAATACTCGTTATCGGAAGGAAACACGAAGGATGGTTTTCGATGAGCGATACATTTTACGTGCAGGAATCGTTGACAAATTTCGCAATATAGCATTTGACTGGTAGCATCGTCGCTACCACAATACAGACACCTGTCTTTCATGTTATCCGACGCATCTAACATAAGCTGTTTTACAAAAACGCGGTAATTCTTAGGATCGAAGGTCAAGTTAAATGGTTGAGAATTTATTAAGCAATCTGCAAAGTAGATTACGAAAACTCCGCAGTTATAGCTATCTGTTTGTCTTGGAACTGATTCACAATCTAATATTTTAAGATCTATGGGAACATTATGAAAAGGAAGTTTAGAATTATATTTTTCCAGAAACTTGCAAAGTTTGTTGAATATACTTTTATCGCATCTACCTCCGGCGGGATCAATGTATTCAAATGTCCGGTTCTTAAAATGTACATGAATTAACACCCAGTGGTTCCCGTTTTGATTATATGGTATTAAAATTTGGTTAAAATCTTTCAGAGAAGGAAAAATGGGATTTACGAAAGCTGACTCAATAACTTTAACATCAGCTCGGTTGCTGTTTTTTATCAAAATCTTCAATGCGAACTCTATTACAAAATTATCTAACCAGGAATTTGTTTCCACTCCGTCAACATCATTCAAAGTTGTAAAAGAGTCATTGTATAATAGGTTAAAATTGTCATCTGTCTGTGAATTAATAGAGTTGTATCGCCCTACCACATAACTTTCGCTCTTGGTCTGACCATAATATTCCGTATTATTTATCAATTCGTTCGCTAAAAACAAGTGTTTTATGTTTTATGGTTGAGTTCTTACTAAACTGACTTTGGGACAGAGCATTTTTTGAATATAGTGCTTTATAATACGAATGTCTTGATTTCCTTTTTTTTGACCAGGTCTCTTCGGACGATTCCCGAGGGCGCTTGATTCTAGCGCACGAGTTTCTATTTATATTAAATTTGATTGATTTGTATACATACAAGGTGTACTTCCTGCATTTGCGTATGAACCGAGAACATTTTAATCTTAAACCGTCATACAAAATATTATTTTTCAAGATACCAAAATAACTTTCTATCACTGCATTGCAAGATCGTTGTCCGGTAATTATGCTAGACCATAGGGGCAGGTATGATATATATCTTTTTAAAATTTCCTCCGAGAACGCAGGACAGTAGTACGGATTATTTTTGGCGATACCCTCGTTTCGAATTTGTGATACTACTTGGTTCGCTTGATCGTGGAAATACTGGTAAAAGTTCGATCTCTCACACTGACTGTTATAAGGGATTTCTGCACTCTCTGCTAAAATTTCATCATTCATTTTTTCAACGTTTTCTACGACTAAATCGGACTTTGTCAACTTCAAAATTTCGTTTTCAGCGTGATCTACCGATAGGTTTGTATACTTGCTGTTGGTTAATACTAAAAAATTTTTGTACCACCTTTCAAAATCACTTATATTCCGCATGTTGAAGACAGAAGCGAAACTCTCTTTTAATATGATTTTCACGCGTTTTTCCTCAAAATACTTATTTATAATGTTTGAAAAAATCTTCATTAGGTGGGCGCAACATAAAGAGAGGTGAGTTATGTTGTTGTGTGTCGCACCCAAAAATACTATTTCATAAAAAATATTCAAATAATCTGTAACAGACACATTATTAAACGAGGCGCAAACTGCTTTGATTTCCGCAAAGCTAAAGTCCGTCACAACGCGATCAAAGATTGGCCACATAGTACTATACGATTCCCAGTAGGTTTTGAAATTATTTAGCCAGGCGGATATACTCACGTTGTCATGTTTCGCGGAAATAAAGTCCGATATACTACAAACGGTAGAATTTCCATGTTGCCTGATCTGTAAAACGTCGCACGACACTTCCTGTGGCATCTAACGCTCCTTTCACACGTAACGATTTTGGTCGTACGGAAAAAAGACGTACGACTTTTTATCGTAGCTGACTTGCTTTCACACACAAAGATATATTATCGTTGTTTTAGTCTAGCGTACATCTTGAGCATAGGGCGTCGCAATGAATCGGGCAAAAATTGTTGCGTGTTGGTTAATTTATCGTCGTAGAAAAAGGCAGAAACGTAATCGCCTACATTGGGTCCATCCGATCAATGAAAGGAGAGAAGAAACAGGTTTATTTCACACACTTTTTGAAGATCTAAGAAATGACGAAAACAAATTTTTAATTATTTCCGCATGTCAATGGCTTCCTTCGATGACTTACATGACAATCTGAAGAATGTTCTTCGACGTCAAAATACAAAAATGAGAAATTGCATTCAACCCATTGAAATGTTGTCTGTGACTTTGAGGTAAGTTACAAAATATGTCTGTTATATGCACTCAAAACAATGGACTTACTATTCCATACAATGTTGCACCAGACGCTAGCTCAGCAACAGATAACGACTTCTCGCTAACACGTTGTTTACGCTTTATTTTCTAGAAGTGCTTTGTAAGCACACCAATAGTATAAATAGGCCTTGCGCCCATTTCATGTCGTTCATTACCCGGCTAGGCACCGTAACAGTCACTTATGTAAACTTTATATTCAATACCCGGTTAGACTCCGTAAATGTCACATTTGTAAACCTTTGTATTTTGTATGGACTGAAGAAAGTGTCCTCAAATAAAATTTTTTTAAAAAGTTATTTCTAAATCTAATGATTTAAGAAATTGGTGTCAGAGAAGTGGGATAGCTTCAACGCATTAGAACACGTGCATACTAACTAGTGTGGTGGATGCCTATCCTTTAAGCTGAAAAGGACCAACGAGCCTTAAGAAGAAAGAAACCCATTGAAGAAAGAAAACTACAAGTAAGAAACTACAAAGCAACAAGAAGAAAGAAAACAACAGGGGACACAGCGAGCAGCAGCCACCCAACTGCAGACAGACTACTGGAAACATCGCAAGAGATCCACTAGCCGCCTGGAGAACACGACTGCCTCCCGATGTACCCTTGGTAACGTACAATTTTAATCTAACTATTTTTTGCGATTTATCTCTGTGTGTGTGATTGTTACATCTTTTTATTTGCATTTTTGCGCATTTACTCTATATTCACGTATTTTTCCCCATTTTTACGTATTTTTCTATTTTACATTTATATCTTTTTGCATTTTCCCTTGACATTATTGAATCTTTTTGAAACAACTTTCCATTTAAAATGTCTACTAACGGTTCAGATGATTACCAACCAGCTGGAATTCCTGATAACGTTCATGCGAACATTGAACCTTATAGATTATCTGAAATATTTTCGATTGTACCCGAGTACGATGGAAACCCGATATTGCTATCGACCTTCATCAACGCATGCCGAACGGCATATCAAATGGCCGTCGAGGAGTAGCGGCTTCTCGTCGTTTTACATATTAAAAACAAACTTCGCGGACGTGCCGCCGAACTTGTGAACAGCCGAAACCCTTCCACGTGGGAAGACATACGGTCCCTGTTAGAAACGCACTTTGGAGATCTTAGAGATCTCACATCTTTAATCGCGGATCTTCAACACATGCGCCAACTCCCCAACGAATCACCCCTAACCTTTGCATCTAGACTGCAGACGCATGCAGCCAAAATGCATTCCGCCGTGAATAGGCAAAATCTAAATCGCGAGCAAAAATCTGCTCAAAGTTCCCTCATCGAAACGATGACATTAAATTGTCTATTAACAGGATTAGACTCAAAAATAGGACCTGTTGTGCGATCAGGACATCCCACGGATATCTTGACCGCAGTTTCGTATATCAAACGAGAGTTACAACTTTCATATTTGGAACGACAAAAATTCGCCAGAGCCCCAAACCCGAATCAAAATTCAGTTATTCGAAGACCAAACCCTAAAATTTGTAATTTTTGTAATCGTCCCGGTCACTTGGCAAATGAATGCCAACGGAGACAACAGCCTACAAGCTTTGCCCCAAGACAGTTTAACCAGCCCCAACCTCAAAATTACCCTAGGCCGAATCAACCTATGCAAGTTAGACCATCTACATCTAACTACCATCAAAATTCTAATCAATATCCTCCCAGACCATCTGTAATACGACCAAATGCGCCTAACGCGAGTGCGCCAAGACCCTCTGTAATTCAGAGCAATCCAAATTTCCAAAACCCTAATTTTCAAAGAAGTTTTAGACAAAATCCTCCCAATCGAATTAATTATGTCGCCCCTGATTCTTACGATTATTCCGACTACGCTGAACCAGACCTATACAACACGGACTACGCTAATGAATATGACGATACCCAATACTCCGCCTACACACCTTCCCCATACGATGATTTTAGAGAACCCAGTAACGATAATTGTTACGAATATAATCAAACCGCCGATACATTTGTTGGTGAACTTAGCGAATCTCAGTGTCGAGGACCCGAACGCGAAACCGTGTGCGAGCGTCAGCAACACATGCGATCAGATGTTCATATAAACCCTCCGTTTATAGTCCCGTCGACAATTCACCCAGTTAGCCCAGACAACCTATATTACATTAAAGATGCTACTGGAAAATTCAAAATTCTCATTGACAGTGGTGCAGGTTGCTCCATTTTCAAACGTAACAGTTGTCAAAATTATACTAGTCGTGTCGCAGAAAATATCTCTATCCGAGGTATTACTGACGAAAAAATTAGTATTACTGAAGCAGTCTTAGTCCCATTTGCTCCCAATGATTATCACAAAATTTATGTCCATGATCTAGATATTTCATTCGATGGCCTTCTTGGGTCAGATTTTCTTGAACATTACGATTGTATTATTGATTTGAAAAATCGTCAATTGATTACAAATTTCAAAACAGTCCCTCTTTTCAAAGTAGGTGACGAAAATGATTCCAAAGCTTCTCAATTTAAAGAAAAGTCCGAAGCTTCGCAATTTAAAGAAAATTCTCAAGTTCAAAATGTTATTTCCATTCCTCCCAGAGTTGAACAAGTTGTCAAGCTCAAATCCGAGCTTAGAAATACTGAAGCCATTCTTCTGGCGTGTGAGGTAGAAAAAGTCCGTCTACCCAGTTCCATAGTTAAAATTGATTCTAAAGGCGAATTCCTTACTACAGTATTAAACTGTAATGCCATTCCAAAAAATGTAATTTTACCCCAATTAACTTTCGAGCCCTTTAACGAAACTTCTATCAATAATTTCAACACTTCTTTACAAAATCAAAGTCAGTATAACCGTAGAGATGTTATTAGAGATCAATTACGTCTCGATCATCTCAACGAAGAGGAAAAAGATTTAATTACGAATCTTTGCTTAGATTTTTCGGACATATTCTACTTAGATGGTGATAGCCTGTCATTTACAAACGAAATTAAGCATTCCATTGATACCACTACCAGTAAACCAATTTTTACCAAATCCTACCGATACCCTTATGTCCACAAGCAAGAAGTCAAAGATCAAATTTCGAAATTACTAAAACAAGGTATTATCGAACCTAGCACATCGCCATGGAATTCTGCGGTGTGGGTTGTACCAAAGAAAATGGACGCCTCTGGTAAACAGAAATGGCGTATGGTGATTGACTATCGTAAGCTTAATGAAATCACCATCGATGATAAATATCCCCTGCCAAACATTTCCGATCTACTTGATCAATTAGGGAAATGCCAGTACTTTAGTACTCTGGACTTGGCATCTGGATTTCATCAAATCGAGATAAATCCAGTTGATGTTCCTAAAACTGCATTTTCAGTTGAAAACGGACATTACCAATTCTTGAGGATGCCTTTTGGTCTCAAGAACGCTCCTGCCACGTTTCAACGTGTCATGGACAACATCTTGATGGGTATACAAAACGAAAGATGTCTTGTATACATGGATGACATAATTGTCTATTCCCCCTCCATCCAAGAACACATCAGTAGGCTTACCGAAATTTTTACGCGTCTTCGGAAGTCGGATTTCAAAATCCAGCCTGATAAGTGCGAATTCCTCAGAAAGGAAGTAGCCTATCTTGGTCATGTAATAACCCCTGATGGCGTTAAGCCCAATCCAGATAAAGTGGATTGCATAAAAAATTTCCCTCAACCCAAGAATCCTAAAGAAATAAAATCTTTCTTAGTTCTTGCAGGTTACTACCGACGCTTTATACCAAACTTTGCCAAAATTGCGAAACCCCTTACCAGACTATTACAGAAAGACGCAGTATTTGACTTTGATAGCGAGTGTGTTAAGTCATTTGATACTTTAAAACATGCTTTAACAACATCTCCTATACTGATCTACCCCAACTTTGAAGAGCCTTTTGTGCTTACAACAGACGCAAGCGCTTTTGCGATATATGGCGTTCTTTCCCAAGGTCCCATAGGTAAAGATCTTCCGATAGCCTATGCATCTCGTACACTTTGTAAAGCAGAAACGAGATATTCCACCATTGAAAGAGAACTTCTAGCTATTGTCTGGAGTGTAAAACATTTTAGACCTTATTTGTATGGTCGAAAGTTTAAACTTGTAACAGACCATAGACCCCTTACGTGGCTTTTCTCTTGCCGAGACACCGGAAGTAGATTAGCAAGATGGCGCCTCAAGCTAGAGGAGTACGACTATGAAATAGTGTACAAGCCAGGCAAGACTAATAAAAATGCCGATGCCCTATCACGTATCAAATTACCCAAAACTGTTAACGCCCTTACCCATAGTGACGAAGAAGGAGAACCTTCTACCCAATTTTCCGAAAGTGAATTTGATATCTTTGCCCGCCTTTACAAAACCACATCCCTGATCGATTATTCCAAAATCCAATTTTCAAATTCCCAACTCCTAGACAAAAGTCATAAACATATCGTCACGTTTTTCAGACAAAACACTCTATCTGATCTTCACGAAAAAATTATCGAAGACATATTCGAGGAAAATCTTGATTTTTCTGCAGATAAAATTAACATCGCGTCTAGCAAAACAATTAAAGATAGGAAATACTATATTATTCCTGTGCCGTACGATCCCGTAACTTGCATACAGCATCTTTTCTCTGTAATTTTAACCAACAAAGGTGTATTCGACCTATCCCAACAAATCTACGTTAAAAATAATTTGGACTTACCCATTTTAGAAATTTTCTCTTTTATTTTTTCGGATGATAATATCAAACTTGTCGTTTGCCAAAACGTCACCAAAACTCCTAATCCCGACGAACATCCCTTCAATATTCTTCCCTATGCTGTTCAGTGCTACAATAGCACTAGAAATAAAACTACTGGCTTTACACCATACGAGCTCGTGTTTGGCCACACCTCTGGTCGTCCGCCCGAACACGTATATTTAGAAAAAGAATTGATGTCCAAGTATGTTCGAGACATTCGGAATAAACTCGAATATTACTACAAAATTGCCCGCGTGAGAACTGATGAACAGAAGCAAAAAGCAAAAATTCGCTTTGATAGTAGAGTGTCACCCAATTTACAATCATATAAAATTGGCGATAAAGTCTTTGTGAAACAGTCTCAAATTTCAAACAAGCTTCAGAACAAATTTGATGGTCCATTCGAAATTACTCAAGTTTTTGAAAATTCTGCGCTCCTTAAGAACCCGGAAACAAATAGAATAAGTAAAGTTAATTTTGACAGACTGAAACCATGTTTTGAGACTTAGTTTCTCTTTCAGGTGCAGTCTGCTGTTTCTTGCGGCTGTCACAGCCCAGATAGACATCAAACCGCTTAACAACACCTTAGGTATCTATTTTCATGAAGACGCCCCTCTTAAGATTTCCAACGAAATTTGGACACTCCTTGTATATAAAGACTTAGAACTCATTAAGAAAGCACTTGACGATAACAACAATATTCTGGAACACTTATCATATCTCGTAGACAAACCCACCAATCGTATGAAAATGTTTAGTGGTGAAATTAAAACTCATACAAGTCTCCTTTATCAAATTTCTCGTTCCTTGGAATCTAAATATTACGCAATCTTCGATGACACTGTAAGCGCATCGCGGATGAAACGCGGTCTGATTAACGCTATAGGTACTGTATGGAAAGCAATAACCGGCAACCTCGATTCATCGGACGGTGAATACTATAACGATTGTATTAACAAAATTTCTAAAGATGAACATGAGCTCGAAAACCTCATGAAGAACCAAATTTCTGTTACCATGTCGGTTATCAAGAATTTTAATAACACTATTCAAAAACTTATGATTGATGAAACTACGTTTAATGAAGATATTAAAGTCATTGAAAACAAAATTTATGAAATTTCAGACGATCTTGCATTTTATGAAGCTAAATTCCAATTTTTAGAAGTTTGCGAACAATTAATGGAAAGCTACATGTTTCTGGAAGAGACAATTAATGATATTCTAAATTCAATTACTCTTGCACGTTTAAAAATAATACATCCTTCTATTATCACTCCTCAAGACTTAGTAAATTCTCTTCAAGAAATTTCTCACACTTTGTCGAGAAATAATTTACCCCTTCCGGTTAATTTAGTAACAGTGTCAGAGTACCTTAATCTTATGGAAGCATATCAAACTAAACAAAATTCGTTCTACGCATCCCGTTATTAGAGCCCGAAATGTATACTGTATACAGAGTGATTCCTCTACCCACTCTCGATAAACGTACTGGTTTGTTTCATGTAGTCTCCACTATACAGAGGTACATTGCTAAAGATAGCGATTCTCTTTTGTACGTTTCCTTTCAAAACCTAGGTAGTTGTAAAGTTCTTCAGTCTCAGGTGAAAATCTGTTTCAACCTCTTGCCGTATCCAATAGGCAGTAATGCAGTCTGCGAAGCACAGTTGTTGCGAAATCCGGTCGATCTGCCGACAGCCTGCCAAATAGCAATTATGGCATTGCAAGATTACAAAATCCAAGAACTTGCAACCAATTTTTGGCTAATCACCATATCTAGCCCTCTGCCAATTACGATGAAGTGTGGACAACGAGAGACTACCACCAAAGTAATAAAAGTTAATTCACTTTTAAAAATGCAGCCCGAATGCAGTGGCTTTGTAGGCACCACGAGATTACATTCTAGATATTCTGTTAGCACCTACAAGAATATCACATACAAAAGTCACCCTGTAAAAGTACCCTACAAATGCTGTGAACATCTCCCAGAGAAACAAAATTTACCAAAATTAAAACCGATCAAGCTAAGCAAGATCGATACTGAAGAACTCGAAATTGCCAATCACAAATTGAACCAATATTCTGAACAACTGGACAAAATTATGAACGAGCCGTTTGTTTCGAGACATCTCTCATGGTTCACGTATTTTATCATCACCCTGTTAGTTATCATCGTAGCTTTGTACCTGTTCTGCAAGTGCAGAAAACGAAGACCACTCAGCATCCGCGCATCAAATTATTCAGCCGATGGCCCATCTCCAGGAGCACCAAAAGTCCGGTACATTCCCAGACTTTTTCCTCGACGTAGACCAACCATCCAGCCACATGAAGAAGACATCGAACTGCAGTGAGTGTTCCGTGAAGTGTTTTCACTGTTCAAAAAGACATTTCCAATTTTCGTGTTATCTACCATGTGATTTTGCCCGTACGACTGTACGATTGTATTTTATTATTTGTTTGTTCCAGCTTTGCTTTTAGATGTTATTTAGCATCGCCAATGTACCGCATTTATGCTAACAATTTTATTTTTCAGAATCTATATTTTCTGATGTTATTTTGCAATTTTATTACTCCTACTTTTATATTTTTATATTTTACAATGTTTACAATTTACATTTCTACATTTTTACATTTTTGAATATTTACATCTTTTACACTTATCTAATTTTATCAAAAGTTGTCGCATGGCAACAACTTTTTGTAATAGGGGGAAGTTGTTATATGCACTCAAAACAATGGACTTACTATTCCATACAATGTTGCACCAGACGCTAGCTCAGCAACAGATAACGACTTCTCGCTAACACGTTGTTTACGCTTTATTTTCTAGAAGTGCTTTGTAAGCACACCAATAGTATAAATAGGCCTTGCGCCCATTTCATGTCGTTCATTACCCGGCTAGGCACCGTAACAGTCACTTATGTAAACTTTATATTCAATACCCGGTTAGACTCCGTAAATGTCACATTTGTAAACCTTTGTATTTTGTATGGACTGAAGAAAGTGTCCTCAAATAAAATTTTTTTAAAAAGTTATTTCTAAATCTAATGATTTAAGATGTCTATGAATTAGGTACATGTGTGCTTTAACAATTACACGTTTGAAAACTGGATCATACAATAATTCATTGAATAGGTATAGGGGCGAGCGGGGTAAAGTGGGGTATCTAATGGTTTTTAGTTTCTAAAATGTCAAATTTTGAACAAAAACTTACATAAAAAGCATGAGGTTAGTCTTACATGTTGTCTATTGAAAACAAAAAAATATATTTACTTTGCATCATCCAATGACTGTGATAAAAATATTTCCGCCATTTATCATTTGCCCCACTATGCCCCATTATACGGGGTAAAGTGGGGTATCTATTGGGGCAAAGTGGGGTTCTGTTAATTAAATGATAAAACAATAAAATATTTTTATTTAAATGATGAAACAATAAAATATTTAGAAAATATTTTTATTGAAGAACACAAAAATCTAAAGAACATAAAAGAAATAAAAAAAATTGATAACACTAAAATTAATTAATTTAATTTTAAGCACAAATAGCACAAAGGTGTGAGGCCTCATCGTCTTCACCAGACACGAGCAATGCGCCCAACGACTGCACTGTCTGCATCGAATCCACCCTTCATTGGACTGAGACCATAAATACCCACAATATAAACATTGCGCATATTCATCTTCGTTAGAAGATTGTTCTTTTTGTTTTAAGACTGATTTACCTTTTTTAATTTTCTTATTCTTAGTTTCTTGCAAATCTAGGTTTTTCTTAATTTTTTTTGTGCATGTTTTTTTTTTCTTTTGCTTCTTCTTGGGCAACCAATTCATTTTTGTATGGCGATTCTGTAATAATTGCGGTCTTTCCTCTTCTCTTTGTAACTCGTTGTGTTTTTCGAGCTTCTTTAAGTCGGCCACTCACGTACAGTTTCAACTGACAGTTTGAACTGTTCAGTGAAAACTGTGCAGTTAAACTGTTCAGTCTGTTTGCACACACACATACAGGTCAATCTATCAGTTTTAAATAATGCATCGAACAGAGCAGAACGATTTGGCCGCTCTGGGTATACTTTGTGTAGTTTTACAAAAAAGTAAACAATGTAAAAAGCGTAAACAGTGGTGCAAGAAGTGGTTACAGAGACGAAATCAATCTTCGGACATCGGCTTATTAAAAGAATTGAGAGGGGAACCATTAGATTTCCTTAATTATTTGCGCATGACAGAAGCAGTGTATCAAAAGTTGCTTTTGCTGGTTTCTCCTTTGATTAAGAAGAAAGATACAGTTATGAGGGCAGCAATATCTCCACACGAACGATTAACTGCTACCTTGAGATTTCTGGCAACAGGACGGTCGTATGAGTGTCTCAAATTCTCGACTAGAATATCACCTCAATGTCTTGGTAAAATTATCCCAGAAACGTGCAACGCCTTGTACGCAGTTTTAAAGAAGTATATGGCGGTACGTATTTTCTTCTTAATTTAGAATAAGAGAAACGAAAAACAGTTGTTTTTGGCAAACTGCTTTTATTTTTATGAAAGGGTACATTTTCATGAATTGGCATCAAATTGAGAAAAATAAGTCGATGCTGTGTTGTCCTGAGAAAAGGATAATTGTCCACTTCCATCATTATGGAACTGTCTAAATGAACCTTGGCCGTATGTTGGAGATGGCGTGGGACATGGAGTGACATTAGGAGATTGACTTGCTAACGCTGTACATGAACCTTGTCCATATGTTGGAGATGGCGTGGGACATGGGGTAGTATTAGGACTCTGACTTGGTGATGCAGCATAACGGTATATTGGCGCTGTGTTTAGAGAACCCATTTCCGCCTCGAATAATATGTCACCTATCTTTTTCTCCGCAATGAGAGCCTGGCGTTTTTCCAAACCTCTCAACTTTACAGCAATAGTTTTTCCCAACAGATCAAAGCGGTCAAGTTGTTCCTTGGGTGTTTTGAAATGGTCACGCACTGTCATCAAGGTTTCTGTTGTGAGATCCTCATTTTTCTTTTGTTTTTTATTACAACCAGGTCTTGAGGTTATTGGCTGTTGAGATTTTCTTGACACTTCTTCAACAACCGCAGTTCTCATTTCTACAACATCATCAGCCTCTCCTGTTTCTTCAGTTGGGAGTGCATTGTCAACGGATTCCTGAAAAATAGAAGCAACTGTGTACTAGGATTGACAAAAAAAAAATAAAACATCTAATTTACTTTAACATAACATATTTAGCTATTGTTGCCTGTTTCAGTTTCCCAACTCAGGAGAAAAATGGAAGGAGATTGCAGCTTCGTTTGAGGAAAGATGGCATTTCCCACACTGCATCGGTGCCTTAGATGGGAAGCATATTGATATAATTCCGCCACAAAACTCTGGATCGTATTATTATAATTACAAAGGCAAACACAGTATGGTTCTTCTGGCTATAGTTGACGCAAAATACCGATTCCTACTAGCAGATTTTGGAACAAATGGGCGGATTTCCGATGGCGGTGTTCTTCAGAATACAACTTTCTTTGAGAAGCTGGTGAACGAGGATTTAAATATTCCCCAACCTGATGATATTTGTGACAATTTCCAAAACGTTCCGTATGTATTCGTTGCGGATGATGCGTTTCCTCTCAGAACTGATATTTTGAAACCATTCAGGCAGGGACTATTAGATTCAGCAGACAAAGAGGTTTTTAACTATCGATTATCACGAGCAAGACATATTGTCGAAAACGTTTTTGGTATACTTGCTTCACGATTTCGTATCTTTCAGTCTCCAATTAATTTAGAACCAGAAAATATAGAAAAAATTGTAATGGCTGCTTGTGCTTTACATAACTTTTTGATTGAACATCAATCTAGTACATACGCTCCTGCAAACTTAAGGTATCAAGAAAATAGTAACGATGGATCTCTTATTTCTATTGGGTGCGATAGTTCACAATCAAATATGATTCCACTAAATCGTCAAAATCGAGGAAATATTGGCAATGACGCAAAAGAAATCAGACAACGCTTTATGGACTACTTCATGAATGATGGCGAAGTCCCATGGCAGAAGAATCACATTTTAAAAAACAAATAAAGACATTATTTGATGTTTACAAAAATAAATAGAAAATTTGTTTTTCCATGTATTCATAATATCGTGTTTTTCTTACCTCGCCACTTTCACCATCCAAATTTGAAATTGAGGTCCTTGACATCTCTTGATCTTGCAAAAAATCAAACATGTCATAATACCAAAGTACCGGCTTGTAAATGCTATCCGTTGATGTTCCAGACTTGTATGATGCATCAACTTTCTTTTTCTCCTTCCGAAAAGCAGTTCTCAAACTGTTAATTTTATTGATCACAGACTTCTTGTCAGCACCAGGTTCAACTTCCACCAACTTTTGTGCCAATTTGGCATATGCAGCATCCTTCTTCGTACGATTATGATATTCCGGGCTCTTTACTTGCCAAAGACAAGGTTCCGATCTGTATATCGCAATAAAATCTACGATCACTGGGTTTGGCTTATTCCGCGACATCTTCAAAAAACCACCCGCACGGTGCTGAGACACAACTTGAACTGAGAACTGTGCAGTCGAACCCCCACACACGCAACGATCAGTTGAACCATTCAGTTAAAACAATTGACAATTTATTTGTCTCAGTTTAACTGTCCAGTTGAGTTAAACTGCGACTGACACACCCACACACGTTGAGGTTTAACTGCAGTTTTCACTGAACAGTTCAAACTGTCAGTTGAAACTGTACGTGAGTGGCCGACTTTAGGTAAAGGGATTATAATATCCGGTGACAGTACAAATGCAGATCTCTTTTGCTTAATATTATATGAGCATCCAGGTTGAGGTTCTGTTTGAATAACTGGTATCTCATCCTGATCTAGATCTGTTTTAAATTCAGGTTCAGGGGTTCTTTGCTCTTCTCTATATGTTTCAGGAGTTATATCCTCATTAATTTTCTCAGTGATTGGACGATTAGTTGATTGGATTATTGAAGTGGGATCTTCTTGAATATCAGTCGTGTCAGAAGGTGCAAAATCTGCATCTGTGAAGATACGTGGTTCAAGAGGCCATATGCCCGTAGCTCTAAAAGAATTTATAGCCGTTGTCATAGTAGCAGCCGCCACAAATGCATTACCAAGGAATCGTGCAGTCTGGAATTGAGTAACAACTCGACCTGGATGTAATCGTAACCATTTTTTAATTTCATTGCTGTAGTAGGTGCTTAGAGGTTTCATAAACCCGACGTCCAGAGGCTGAAGTCGATGCGTACAGTGAGGTGGAAAGCAAAGGAGAACAACACCATTTTCGCGAGCCAGATCTATAAGTTCAATACTTTTGACGTGAGTTGCATGTCCATCAAGTAATAAGAGCACTGGGTTTTCTTTTGTGGCATGCGACCATTCAATAAATCTTTTTAGCCACAAGATAAACAGGTCGCTTTGTATCCATCCAGATTCGTGGCAAGAACCTGCTGGCGCTCCATCTAGTAATTCAGGCTTCATCCTTTTACGCGGAAATATAAACATAAGAGGCATATAACTCCCTACAGCACTGAAACAGACAATCGTTGTCATCAGTTTGCCTCTTTCTGCAGATGTCAAGGTTCCGACTTGGCATTTACCAGTGGAAGCCAAAATTTTGGAATGACTTTTCGGGACAGTTGAAACGCCAGTTTCGTCAACGTTGTAAGTGCGCTGCGGTGTAATCTTATATTTGTCAATAGCTTCTTCCAGCAATTTAAAAAAATTTTCAACCGCCCTAGCTGCTGATGTTGCTTCCGGCTTTCTATAAGTTATATCCTTATGCCTGTTTAAAAAACCTTTTAGCCAATCTGTCCCCGCCATTTGATTATCTTTGTTAAAATTGTGGGCAATATTATTTTTTTCAGCTAACTGGAAAGCTAGTGATCTAAGTTCAGCAGACGTAAGACCATAAATCCGTGCTTCCATTAATTTTATGTAGGATACTAACTCAGCCTCTTGTTCTTCGTTAAAAACAGTTGCGTAACGGCCCAATTTCTTTACAATTGAGGTTTCATCGGGATTACCTCTGTATTTTAACACATACCGCTCAAGTGTCGTTTGCGGCACATTGTATGTCTGAGCTGCTTTTTTGTATCCCATTTCCCCCGAAATATAACTATAGACGGCTTTTTTCATGGATTCTGAAGACCAAGAATGCTGCTCTGTTTTTCTTCTGTATGTCCGAACCATTGTGCTAAAATAACAAAAATTAATTTTACCAAAAATAATAGTACCTTATAGGTCGAGAGCCCGTGAGCCCCAGACCTTAGTCATTTTATAAAAGCTGAAAAAATGTGAAAAACTAATTTTGTAAAGATGGGGCATAGTGGGTATCAAATCAATGTTCCCCACTTTGCCCCCAACAGACCACCCCGCTTTGCCCCAAATGACGTAATCAAATAAACATGGCTGCAACTCTTACCTCTGTTCTGATCCGGTCTTATTATTCACATAAAATTTAATGCCAAAGAACACCTTAATCTGATAAAAACACGCGGTTACTGTAGCACAAACAGTTTGTGTTTATTCTTAAGACAATATTTTTATAAATAAATAGGAAAAGTACGTATTTATTTGTTTTGAACTGTAAAAAAAATTCCAGCGATCTATCACGTTCACTGCATGTGGTAATCAGCTGATACGTGCCAGCTAGTCAAAGCATCACTACGGCAGCGCTCTGCGGATATTATTTGAACCTCTCGTTGCCACACCCCACTTTGCCCCAGTACCCCACTTTGCCCCGCCCTCCCCTATTTATATTTTATATTTAGTAACAATATGAAAGTAGTCGAAATACATTAGAGGGTAGTAAAATCTATACTATCAACTGTGCAAGAGTCCTGAGAAAGTGGAGTCGAGCTCTCCCTCGGATCCGTCATTGGGGAGGTCATTCCTGATGACTGGCCGCAATCTTGATAATACTGTCGTGCTGATTACGTACACTGATTACTAGTCAATGAAGACTGAGTAGGAAGAAGTTGCGTAAAGGATGGTGTAGAATGTGCTGTCAATGACTGGGAGTGAGTGAATGGAGAATGTTGAGGAAAACCAGGAATGGACTGAACAAACGCTGGAGGAACTTGAGGAACCGCTTTATTTTTTTTCATTTATATTTGCAATCACTTGCAACACGCCCATTTGGAATTGAAGTAATTCATTTTCATCAAATCTGTCTAGGTGCGGCAACAAGCTGTGGAAAAAAGACATTTTGCTGTTGGGTTTTTCGGGTTCCAATGCCTTCATAATTTTTAATTCAACCTCATCAGGTTTGCGATGCTTCCTGTTTCTATTATAATTTTCTGTATGTACTCCTTTATTTAGCTCATTAATGTGTGTACTAGTAGTTTCCTCCATGTCATCAGTCTCGTGCCTTGTTTCATCATCTAAACTATCAACTGTTTCTGTAACTTCGTACAATTTATTTAAAAATTGAAGCTGATCATTAAATACATATTTCTTGGATTTTCCACTTTTCTTACTGTCTTTTAATTTCCTTTTGGACCTAGCGAAAGCATCTCGAAGATTTGTCCAGCGTCTTACAACGTCCTTACCTAAAATATATAAATAAACAATAAAAGGTTTTGATATAATTGTACCGTTTCTGTCTCATAATGAAATAATAAACAATAATATTTTGAGACCGGCCACTTTTTCCTATTACATTTGTATACAAAAATGTTCGCAAGTTGGTGACAAGCAATATGTAACTACATGATTCTTTTCAGATATCTGGCAAGTGGCTGTACGTTTACTGACCTACACTACACTTATCGAATTGGAATTTCTACTGCAAGTAAGATAGTAAAAGAGGTTTGCAAAGCAATCTGGGCGGTTCTTCAGGTGGAGTCTATACCTTCACCAACAAGAGAAATTTGGGAATCTATTGCTTCCGATTTTGAAACCATTGCAAATTTCCCTCATTGCATAGGGGCAGTAGATGGCAAACATGTACAAAAATCTGCAATCGAAGCTGCACATAGCTCCTTCATCTTCTGGCCTCCCAAAATACTGAACTGCAACGTCGCATTAGCGCCTAAGGTGGTTAAGCAAGAAGTGGAGAAATGATATGGACTATAGAAGAGTAGCGTGGATATATTGGTCGCCTCCAGACAGTAAATCAAAAACAAAAAAAACCTATTGTTTAGCGGCATGTGTGTGGGTGTATCTATCCAGTTGAAGGGTGGATGTAAAGCTGGACATACACGCTAATAAAATACTTGGCAGCCTGGCAACATTATGGATATTCAGATTCATGATTCCGCTACAAAAAGATCTGTATGAATATTTTGATGAACAAATCATAATCAGCTGTCTCTACCCACACTCCGCCGATACATGACGCGAATTCGTACCTAAAATCTCCCAGCGTTTGAGAAGCTTCATTCCATCCAGGGCCTTTGATTTCTTACCTTTCGTCTTTGATTCATACGCAATTGGTCTATAAAATGCTCAAGTTGATGATTCCTTTATTACCAACGGCAGATAATGATATATCAATTTTCCTATTTTTAAATCTTCAGAACACAACTCTTTAAAATACGAAATACATACACTCCTTAAAGTGTTTTGAAGGGTGCTCCATGTAAAATTTCTCTAAGAATTCTAGTTGCTACGCTCAAAACTCTTATTATTATTGTAACCTGTTTATCGCATGACCTTTCGGTAAATATTACCGTGTATGTTTAGCTTTTGCTTAGAATGATCCACCAGACGGCGGTAAAGGGGATCAAAGAAATAAACCGGCAATAAATTATACTCGATAAAAGAGGTACGCTCTACCTAAAGACAGGTCGCACGACGGCGTGTTTCTGCTCCCCTGATTACTCATTGCCGACGGTCTGTTTGATAACTGGTCAGTCAGTCTTTGCGAGCCAAAAACACAAAATACGGCGTTTGTCTTTGAGGTGCCGCGCCGCCGACTGCATGAGCGTATCCGCTGGTTGTTCCACTTCCACATTCATAAGAAAAATTTACATGGATTACTCTTAATGACTATTGAAACTTAAAATATTATTTTTTTCTCAAATGTCTGGTAGCATTTTATGACTAAAAACAGGATAATTTCTTTAATTAACGCATCAAGTTGTAAATTTAATCAAGAAGGACTTATTCATTTCTTATTTACTTCGTCGCCGTCGCTGGTTGGATGGAAACCCAATGATATTAGAAAGAACGGCGGAACTCTTTGAGCTAGGCCCACAGACCCCACACGCCTCTGTTACTATTCTGGTATGGGCACACCGGCGTATTCAAGGGAGGGATTTGAGGCTCCTCGGAGTTTCCCTTGCCGAAGCGTAACAGCTCATTAGGCTTCTTCTACATATTACAGCATGTTAAACCTTCTGTGAAGTGTGCTACCTGGACTAAGCGAGTTCCCCCCTGCTATGCAGTTTTCTATCTCCACGACCCTGGATCCTGAGCCTCCTCCCAGATCTATTTCTGGATAACACCACTGGTTGGGCAGTATCTCAATCTACAGGAAACGATTACTATCGCGAAATCAACCACAACTGTGGCTCCTACAAATCACATTTATGGGCACCTTTAAAATTCGGACTAAACTAGGAAATCACATATGAGTAAATTTAATGAATCATAATTGATCATAATTGTTTTTATTAGCATTGGGAGGATTTCTGGAAAAGCAAAAAGTCTATATACTTGGATTTCTGCTTAAAGTGGCTTAACCTACCAGTATCTGTACAAAGTAAGAAGCATGTAGACCAGAAGGCAGTTTTGTATAGACACGGAAAGTGGTTAAACTGAATACCTACTGGTGAAATACTTTTCAGAGCTAATGAAATTAGTTGCAAGAAGGATAAATAGCCAGCGCTAATATGCTCAGCAGCCTGGTTAACTAGTATGCATATTCAGATTCATGATTCCGCCACAACATGATCTGTATGAATATTTTGATGAACAAATCATAATCAACTGTCTCTACCCACACGACGCGAATTCGTACCTAAAATCTCCCAGCGTTTGGAAGCTTCATTCCAGCCAGGGCCTTTGATTTCTTACCTTTCGCCTTTCATTCATACGCAATTGGTCTATAAAATGCTCAAGTTGATGATTCCTTTATTACCAACGGCAGATTTGAGAGTGGAAGGATTTGCGGCGATTTTTAAGATAATGATATATCAATTTTCCTATTTTTAAATCTTCAGAACACAACACTTGAACATACAGAATATACACACTCCTTGTAAAATCTCTCTAAGAATTCTAGTTGCTAGGCTCAAAACTCTTATTGTTATTGTAACCTGTTTATGGCATTTCCTTTCTGTAATCATTACCGTGTATGTTTAGCTTTTGCTCGGACAGCCGTAAAGGAGATCAAAGAAATAAACCGGCAATAAATTATACAGGAAAAAAGGGGGACGCTCTACATAAGGAGAGGTCGCGGAACGAAGTGTTTCTGCTCCTCTGATTACTCATTGTCGACGGCCTGTCTGTTTAATACTGGTCCCCAAACAGAGAGAGATTGAGAGATGAATTTTTCTATGGTAGGATATTTGGCACTCAAGCCTAGGTTGCGCAAACAATAAATTATAATCCATCAGCTCATTGTTATAATAAGGTAGTGAGTGGTTCAATAAAAATTCAAATGATTATGGAGTATATATAATATAGTATAAAATAATAAAATAAAACAGTTAATTCCATGCAATTAAAATAAAAATAATATCCTCTAAAATACAAACAAGTAATAAATCTATCTAGAATTCTCAAAAAAAAAAACAGTTTCTCTATAAATCCATAAACAAAAGTAACAAATAAACAAGAGCATTCTTACAAAAATCTAATACGGGCCACGTAGCATTCTGAAAAAAATACATATTGTTATTCAAAATAGATTTCCGTTATACATACAATGTTTCTATACTATACACTGAAAAAAATCTCCGTCCCATCCCCCAAATTGGGAATATCATTTCAAGGCGAAGCCTGACTAAGTAAGTTTTCAAAGAAGATTTGTGAAAACAGTTTAGCTGCAGTTTGCTTCCAGTGACAAAAAGCACAACACGAAAATGAACAAAATGTGTTTTAGGGTAGTAGAAGAGAGAAGGGGTATCAAATGATTGACAAAATCATTTTTGTATTTTCCGCCATGTTTATGCGATACTTCGAGCAATCATTGTACGGAGCCGATTTTAATGCATGATATATAATAAACACAATACGCTATATAAAATATCTTACCAATATGCGATAGGATGACCTTCTGCGTCTATACAGGATTGCATCCTAGTGCGCATGCTGTCCACCAAGTTTTTGCAGACATCCGTTCCCCGGAAGGATTCCCATAGCCGCCTACAATGGGTGTCGAGATTATCCCGCCTATTGGGGAGCGGTCCGCCAGTGCTCCACTTTTGGACCATTATACCCCACAGGTTTTCTATTGGGTTAAGGTCTGGAGATTTTGCTGGCCAGGCAATGACATTGTAATCCTCTTGTGCAAGATAATTTCGCACCATGTGTGACGTATGAACGGCGGAATTATCTTGTACAAAAGTGATTCTACTTTGTGGATAGAGAATCCGGTATGATGGGATAAAACTATTATTTAAAATGTCCACATATTGTTGCGAGTTCATTCTGTCTGTAAATAACAAGATCATCTTATGAGGGACCGAGGTATACACAGGGACAAGAAAAGGGAGCTAAAATGCAATATATTTCGGACACCAAGTGCGTGTGTGTCTGTGTGTGTGTAGGTGTGTATGTATGTGTATGTGTGTGAACATGAAATGAACAATTTTACTTTGAGGGGAAACTGAGAACAAAACTCATTTTGTGGTTTGGGTCTGGGCAAACGAAACCACATATGTTTGAATTACTTTTTCACTGACGTTTCGGACACCACGGTGGCTTTTTTGGATATTTCTTAAAATATATAGATTAGAACAAGTAATTTAAAACATAATATATGTGGTTTCGTCTGGTCAGGTAATTATCGAATCTTATTGCATTTTCTGTCCCCTACCAAGTCCTAGGAGGGATATGGTATAATACCAGTAATCTTTCATAAAAATTAGCTTTTCCAAGAAATTATCCGATATCGACAAAACCATCTATTGTGATCATTATTTAGATGTTAGCAATTTTATACTGTTACTTAAAAGCCTACTGCAGTGACATAACTTAGTCGTAAAAAAATACTCAAAAGCAAGAGCTGCTATTTTGAATTTTGATGCAACGCATTCGGTAATTCCAAATGGTTTTGTATTTTAATATAACTCTTATGGGTGGTGCAATGCCGGAAACAATCAATTGTGCAAGGAGTAAACTAGATACTCGTAAAATAATGAGCACGCAGCGCTACGACGAAGTCGATCAAGTGGTTCCACTAGCAGCTCTTGCTAACTTTAGAAAAGTATAGTTGTAACTTAATTATCTCTTACCAGTTATACTAACTAAATCCCCTGGTCCATCCGCCGTCATCCACCCCCAGTATCCCATTGTCGTCCGACCCGTGGTTCTGTTGGGGATTATGTTTGCTGGGTCGTATCTAGTGTTGTTCCGACGCCATAGCGGCGGTCGGTAATCCGTATTAGTACAAAAAATTTTTTCATCGGAGAAGACTACGGTGCTCCAGTCCCTATTCAGGTTCTCCTGGCAGAACTGTAGTCTTCTCCTTCTATGATCCTCAGTGAGCAATGGCTTCACTGCCGGTATCCTTCTGTGGACGCCTTCCTTGTGGAGATATCTACCCACTGTCGTTCTATGACACTGTAGCCCCAGTCTATCTCGCATTGCGAGCGCACTACAAAACCTATTTTCGTCATTGAACGCAATCAGCCTGCTCACGTCTTCATTTGATAAGACGTTGCGTCTGTGGACATTTGACCTGTCGGTTTCCAAACTGCCACCTTCCCTATTCCGCCTAATCCAGTTTTGCACTTGTCTTAGCTAATAGAAAAAGTAACATTCAGAAAAGTGTACTATGATCAAAAAGACTGTATAATTTACCGACATATCAAACTGATCTGCTATCTTCGCGCTGGATATTCCCATCTCATAACATTTGATGATCATTCGTCTCTCACGCGGGGTTGTTTGTTGTCGAGACATCTTTCTTCTACAACACTACTGCGCTCCAGAACACTCAAACAACAACTGAGAACTGATTATCCAGGCTAAATCCACTAAATGTAAGAGTTAAATAGAAAAATATGACTTTTTTTCTAGCTACTGTCAATTTCTTTGTGAGCCATAAACACAAAATACAGCTTTTGTCTTTGAGGTGCCGCGCCGCCGACTGCATTAGCGTACCCGCTGGCTGTTCCACTTCCACATTCATAAGAAAAAATTACATGGATTACTCTTAATACCTATTGAAATTTTGTTTCTCAAATGTCTGGTAATATTTTATGACTAAAAACAGGATAGTTTCTTTGATTAATGCATTAATTTGTAAATTGAATCAAAAAGGATTATTCATTTCTTATTTACTTCGTCGCCGCCGCTGGCTTAGTGCAATCCCAATGTCTAAAGTGGCTGAACCTACCAGTATGTCTACAAAGTAAGAAGCGTGTAGACCAGAATGCAGTTTTGTATAGACACAGAAAGCGGTTAAAATAAATACTGGTGAAATACTTTTCAGAGCTAATGAAATTAGTTGCAAGAAGGATAAATAGCCAGCGCTAATTTCGTAAACTAAACGTTTTTCATATTTATATTTTATACGAGAATGTTCAGTTTCCAAACGTAACTAAGTTCGGTAGCCTAGCACTTACGGCTTGTCTATTCAATACCAAACATCCAACCTACCATATCAGAATTAATCAAACAACCTGCTTCTCCCTGAATATTGAAATTTGAAAGAAATATTTTGATTTACACAAGCCTGAAGATATATTACAAATAAAGATTTAATCTGATTTGAAAATCACACCATATTGGGAATTTAATTAAGCTTGCACCTGATCAACAGCAATAGCCCACCGCCACTGGAGACAACCAAGCCACGCGCCTCTATAGAATGCGGTACCTTTTATCTATAATTTATTGCCCGGACATTACCTTCCAGTATCAATCTTGCTTTTTAGACTGTCTTCGGTGCTAATACAACGTTGCAATTCGGTATTTTTGGAGGCCAGAAGATGCAAGAGGTATGTGCAAGTTGGATTGCTCATCTTTGTACGTCTTACTTGCCCATTTCGCAGTGGGTCGATGTATTTTAACTATAAAGCCTGGTTTACATTGGTATAATTAGTAGTAGAGTTCACTAGCATACTTTTTTCCTGAAATACTCTACTATGCTCATTTTGGTAGAGTAACTGTATTTACTTTTGCTAGTAATTTGAAAAGATAGTTCGATTTAACATGTGTAATAATGAACAAGCAGGTTAGGCAAAAATCTCGAGCCGTTTTAAAAAAATGTTTAGTGCAAGCTGCAGATGTTTTATTAAATGAAATTGAGGAAGTTATAGAGGAAGAAACTAGTAAACAAAAAAGAATTTGGGTAAGGGATTGGATTAAAAGACGTGATAAATTGGGAGCATCTGCCAATCTTTTAAGAGAACTGGCTTTGGAAGACCCAGAAGAATATAGAATGTGCTTGAGAATGACACCTGATAGTTTTGAAACACTGCTGAATTTAATTAAGCCGCATATTCAGAAAATGGACACATTCATGAGGGATGCAATACCAGCACGTGTTAAATTAGAAATTACTTTAAATTTTCTGGCCACAGGCAATAGTTATCGTAGTTTACAACACCTCTTTCGGGTCTCAAAACCAGCAATAAGTAATTTTATTCCTGCAGTATGTGAAGCAATGAACGAAGCCTTACACGAATACTTTAAGGTAAGTTTTAATAAATAAATACAATAATATGAGTTTATTTTATTATTCAAAATGTATTCCAACTTTTTTATTATTTCAAACAAATTATGCTGATTGCCAAGCTTTAGAAAGTATGTTACTTAATGTTTCCTGTCCACTGCTTTCCTTAGAAAATTGTAATTGTTCCTCGTTCGGATATTGAGATGAAGTAAAAGTAAATGTTGGTTCAGGCGGTACTAGTTGGTGAAGCGTACTATATTGTTCCTCTTGAGAATGTCGTGAGTAGAGATTCCCATCCAAGATTACCTGGTCCTCTACGCTGTTAGAAGGAGACGTCAATGAGTGCTCTTCGTTCAATGCTTGTGAATGAATCTCGGAAGGGGTGTTTACCGCCACGGAAGTCTGTACTGCCTTTAGTCGATACTTAGTTACCAAAGATTGTATTTCGGATTGCAACATAACAGATTCTTGTACTGGCAGCTTATTGAGACACGCAGTAATATATTGCCCAAATGCATCATTCTCGCTTATTTGACACTCGGGCTGGTTATTTAGATTCTTATGAACATTTTTTAATTCGTTCACCGCTGATCTCAAGTCGTCAAGTTGCCTTTTTTTACCTCTAGATTTTGGAGTTACACGTGATACTCATTGGGACGATGCAGTTGATTGTGCTTGGTCTCGTGATAATCTAGTGTTCGCATAAACTTCAGTATTTTCATCCGCTGTATATTCTGGCCTTCCATCACTTTCGATAGCACTCTCTTCATCCTGGCTTGCCTGAAAAAAAGTGCATTAATAAATTCATGTCTCAATATAAATCGCTTTAAAATTATTATTTTTTTACTTATTCAAGGCTGCAAAACAGTTAATTAGATTTTTGCTATTTTTCTTTAAAGTTTCCATTTAAGTAAAAACAAAATAGTATTTTTTTTTTTAAGATGTAATAGGAAAACATATTTTTCTTTCTGTTTCAGATGCCAACAACAGAAGAAGAGTGGAAAATAATTGCAAATGGATTCGAAGAGCATTGGAATTTTCCCGGTTGTTGTGGTGCCTTAGACGGGAAACACATTTTGATATTATGTCCTGGCAACTCTGGAAGCCAGTTTTTTAATTACAAAGGGTCCTATAGTGTCGTGCTAATGGCTCTACTAGACCACAACTACTGTTTTACTTATGTGTGTATTGGCAGCCAGGGATCTCAATCTGATGGTGGAATCTTCCAGAAATGTGCACTTGGAAATTTGTTGCAAAATGGATTGTTGCCTGCAGGATATAGCATTGTTGGCGACGATGCCTTTCCCTTACGACATTATTTGATGAAACCGTATAATAATTACCGAAGACCGCTTAGTATACCAGAGAAAATTTTTAATTATCGTTTAAGCAGAGCTAGAAGAATAGTGGAAAACAGCTTTGGAATTTTGGTGAGCAGATTCCGAATTTTCGATAAAAATATTAATTGCAAATTAGAAACAGTCAATAAGATAGTGCTGGCTGCATGCGCTCTTCACAACTTTTTACGAAAGACCTCACCTGCTACATATTTACCTCGTGGCTCCGTAGATGAAGAAGATATCATCACCGGCTCCATAAACCCTGGTCAATGGAGAGCCGAAATTACAGAGCTACGTAGGATGGAAAGATATCATGAGAGACGGGCAACAAACTTAGCAAATCAAATTCGAAATAATTTAAAAAATTATTTCACTAACGAAGGTGCTGTTTCCTGGCAGTACAAGAATATTTACTAAATGAATAAGTATGATATTTTTACAATTCGGAATATAATATGAGATTTGTTTTTACCATAGATTACGTAATTAGAAATAGTTATCAACATTATAGTCCACACAACATAACTTTTTTATAAACAAATAAAAATGTTTACTTACTTGACTTTCTGTATTGCCTATGTTGTACTGTGTAGTGCTAGAGGCCTTTAACGTTTTTCATGAAAGAATCCATTAAAGCAAACCATTTAATATTCGGAACATAGACATCATTTATACCGGCACCTGATTTTTTTATCTTCCCATTTTCTTGATTATAAGTACATCTCAGATTTTTATTTTTTTGTTTTAATTCGGCAATACCAAAATTTTTCTTTGCCATATATTTTACGATTTCTTCGTAGGCAGCTGATCTCATTGCCCTACTTCTATAATTAGGACTGCTGATATTCCATATACATTCGTAATCTTTGTACACTGCCACTAATTTCATAGTTTCATGTTCCGTCCACTTCATTTTTGTTTAAACGTAGTAAGCAAAATTTGAGATAAAATGTTTAACTAAAATGACTGAAGCGCACAAGCAGTCCGAAAAACACAGACAAAACCAAACTTGTGTTTGTTTACATTGGTATAGTCAACGAACAAACCAGTAGAGTAGAGTACGATTGTGGAAGTGGGGGGTGGATAGTCGAGTGTACTATTCCACACGTGCTATCCACTTTACTCTCCCCTGGACTATCTGTAGTACTCTACTGTCACTAGCACAACTTGTTTACATTATTCTAGTAGGGGAATAATAAGTACTCTACCATCGAACTCTACTACTAATTATACCAATGTAAACCTATCTTAAAGACTACTATTCTGTAGTTTTAATGGCAGTTGCGGATTCGAAATACCGATTTGTATTTGTAAACGTTGGAAGCTATGGTAAAGACTGTGACTCGTCAATATTCAAAAGATCCAGTCTATGGCAATCCATAGAATCCAACACACAACCACTACCGGAAGACAAGTGTCTACCAGGAGTCCCAAACTTCCATACTTCTTCGTAGGGGATGAGGCATTTGGACTAATTCGCCATTTATTACGACCTTTTGGGGGAACACATTTAACACCTGAGAAAAGAATTTTTAATTATCGCTTGTGCCGAGCTCGACGGTACGTCGAATGCGCTTTCGGTATCCTCAGCAATAAATGGCGAATCTTTCACAGACCTCTTAATGTAGAGCCAGATTTTGCAGTGACTATTATCAAAGCTTGCACTGTGTTACATAATTTTGTACGCGACAGAGATGGTTTTTTGGTGGAGGATATTACTACAATAACAGGTTTGAAAGATCTACCACGAGAACATGCAATACGAGGGGGTACTTATATCCGCAAATAATGTAAGGAACATATTGTGTACATATTTTGTATCAAATATTGGAAGCGTACCGTGGAAAATGTCAAAAATATAAGTACATAATGACTCTTCATCTGATAGCAGTTCGTGAAATTATTCCCAAGAAAAACAATAAATAAATACATAACTAATCAATATATAGTATGTAAGTACGAGTACGTTTAGTTATTTTTGTTACCCAAGTTGAGATCCCTAATCAGCGTCGATTATTTCATAATTTAATTCTTAATCACAAATAAAATTAAATCGCTACGCTTACCAAATGCATTTTTTCTGTATCTCCAAGCTCATCAAAATCTGATTTTATTTCCAGGAGAATCTCACGCCAGGCATTCCTTGTTACATTCCTGTCTTTATAAATATCGAGGGTTTTATCCCATAGCACAGGTCTAGCTTCGACCAGTGAAATCAGAAATTCACCGTCAATATTTTCAGCCATTTCGCTAATAAACTAATTGCGTGCCACTGGATCCACCCTATACGACAGGTATAAACGACTACAATTCGTTATGTGTGAAAGCATTCATTTGATGCCGTTTACCACTGTTATCACGACACGACACGACCGTCGTCTATTGCAGTGGCATTTGGCGTTTTCACACTAGCCGACACGACACCGGCACGATCACGGCACGACAACCACACCGACACGATATATCGGCGGGTATTTTCACATTTACCGACAGTGTCGTAGTGAGCGCCGAGAGATTATTGCAGATATGGCCGTTGGTAACTTGTATTTGCTATATTTGATGCATTTAAGACGCAAAAAGAGACGCCAGCAAAGGAGATTCTGGGTACATCCAATTATAAAAGTTCGCTACTTAGAGCACGTATTACACTCTTTTTGAAAAGCTAGCTAATGATCCTGAGAAATTTTTTAATTACTTTCGAATGAGTCATGAAACATTTAACTATGTGCTGAATAAGTTAATTGATGGAATCAAAAAACCGGATACGCGATTTAGAATGGCTATACCGCCTGAAGAAATGCTAGCTGTAACAATAAGGTAAGTTTTTTTCATATTTTGTAATATTAATTTTAAATAAATGAAAGAAGCGTTGAAAAGGTTATATTTGCAACTTTCAATAATAATCATAACAAAAAGTATTCCAAAGTCTAAATGAAATGTTTAATATATATATATAATATAATTTCAAATGAAAAAATGAACATTGGGCAGTCATAAAGAGTTCAGTCTGCAGTAGAGTCAAATAGTTGTTGGTAGGGATTGATCAGATACCTTCCAGCTGGTCTTTCATCCTGTTGTTCATATTCGCTGTTTTGCTCGTCCACTTGGGAAAGGGTGGTCGAAGAGTATGGAGATGTCACAGTACCCTGTGGGCTTGGGTATGGGTCTGTGGAGTTACTCGCATGCGTTCTCGGAGGCGCAGTAAAGGAATATCTGTTAGAAGTCAAGTTTGGTTCATTTTGGGTGAAGCATCGCTTATCTTTAATTTCCTTGATCTTCTTGAGAATTTCGATATGCAATTCCAAAAGCTCGGTCTCATTCATATCTCGTGTGTGGGGCACAAATGGTAGGAGCACTATTTCGTTGTCAGCTCGAACAGGGAGGGCACAAGACTTTGACTGAGAACCATTTTCTGATGATTTTGCCCTTTTTAATTCAGTTAAAATTTCGCGCTCTATGAAGTCTAATTCTCGTTTGGATTTTGGATTGTTCTTGTTCTTTCAATGGGACAATCAACGTGACTGACCCTATAATAAACTTTCACGGAAAAATACTAAATAATTTTTTTTTTCAGATATTTAGCCTCAGGATGTACGTTGACCGAATTACATTATACCTATCGAATTGGGATATCAACGTTAAGTCAGATCATAAATTTAACATGTCGCCAAATATGGGACATATTCAGGTCATCATTCCTTAAAGAAATGACGAAAGAAGATTGGACACTGGTCGCCAATAAATTCGAGAAAACAGCGCATTTTCCTATGTGTCTCGGGGCCATTGATGGGAAACATATTCGAATAGAAAATTTCCCTAATGCAGGAGCAATGAATTTCAATTATAAGAAGTTCTACTCAATAGTTCTGTTGGCAACAGCCGATGCAGACTACAAGTTCCTGTTCGTCGACATTGGAGCATACGGAAAAGACTGCGATTCATCTATTCTACAAGGCACTGAATTTTGGAGAAGGCTAATAAGTTCAGAACTGGATCTTCCAGATGCGAAGCCAATTACACCTACAATGGGCTTAAAAGTGCCTTATGTTTTTATTGCCGATAACGCATTTTCCATGAATGAGCACATCCTAAAGGATTTTTCCAACCATAATTTAAGCATCAAACAACGTGTCTTCAATTACAGATTACATAGAGCTCGGCGATATGTCGAATGTGCATTCGGAATACTAACCAACAAATGGCGTATATTTCACAGAGCACTAAATGTGTCCAAAATTTCCTCCAAAAACATTGTCAAAGCATGTGTAGTATTACATAACATAGTACGTGTAAGAGATGGATATCGTACGGACGATTTAATTGTGACTTCGGTGTTCCCAATTGAAAAATAAACCTAATACCAAACAAGAGCCAAAACAGTCTACTAATAAAACAGGACAAGGTGTACGGTCCTGTTTTGCGAATTATTTTGTCAGTAAAGATGGTGCACTACCATGGCAGTTATCAAAAATTTAAATTTCATAGCTTAGGTAGATACTCTGTATTTGATTACAGTTTACACACACATAATAAAAGATTAAAAAAACTTACCAGTCTATTTCTTTTCCGCTGCTGACAATTGATCATATCTATCTTCTAAATATTGGAAAACCTCCTGCCAACTGTTTTCTCTCAGTATTTTATTTTTACTATTTTCATTTGTTTTGTCCCAAAGACACGGTTTTGATTCAACAAGTTCTATAAGGGTAACAATGTCATACTTGAAATTAGCCATGACAACTAGAAGACGTCAACGACACGAGTGGAGTGGTTGCTCCTCGCCGACATGTCGGTGCCTGTAACGACACGACACCGACATATCGGCGAGTGTAAAAGCGTTCCCGTTTAATTAAATGATATTACGTGTCCACCGGTATCGTTGTCGTGTCGGCTAGTGTGAAAACGCCCATTACGTGTCCACCGGTATCGTTGTCGTTGTCGTGTCGGTGTCGTGTCGGCTAGTGTGAAAACGCCCATTGAACGGCAGCTGGACGACAACGACACGACAATATGTCGTTGTCGTGCTGCATGAAAGATCTCGTATATTTCTTTAATGCACTAAGCGCGGTTTCACACACACCGATATTATCGGTGTCGTTATCGGAATCGGTATCGGAGAGTGCTTTCTTACACACCGATAAAAAAGTAAAACTTTGCGCCGTCTTTCATAAAAGGCCAGGGATCAGTGCGGTGTGTGTAGCGTCTCGGAACAGTTTATTATTTAATATGAACAAAAAAGCTGTGTTTTTATTATATTTGCTGTATTTGCGAAAAAAGAAGTGTCGAGAAAAAAGACGAAGACGATATTGGGTCCATCCCATATTATCTCAAAAATATGTAGAAGGAGCATTTTATACAATGTTTGAAAAATTGCGCGAGCATGATGAAAAGTTTTTTAACTACTTCAGAATGAGCACAGCTACATTTGACTACTTACTAGAAAAGTTATCATGTAGCTTACAAAGACAAGATACTCAAATGAGATTATGTGTACCTCCAAAAGAAATGCTGGCAATAACACTGAGGTAAGTGATTAAGGAAATTCTTTATTTGCATTTAAAGTAACATAACATATAAAAATTCTTACATAAACTTATCTTTGACAATAAAAATAATTCATACACTATTTTGGCAATGTTGTGAAACATCTTGTGAGGTGCTACTTGTTGATATATATGACCCTTCTTGAAAAAACGACTGATAGTTTGTCGTTGATGGGTTTGCTGCTTGTAGAATAGTATATGACGGAGATGAGACTGCAGAGAAATCAGACACAGGAGAAGTAGAAAAGGTGATGCTAGAGGTGCTTATGTGACGATTTCGTTTAATTTTTTGAATTAGCTGCAGTACTCCCATCCTAAACTCAATTTTTTCCTCTTCTGACATTGTTGTTATCATAGGAACAACGGAATTGAAGAATGACTCATCTTCATTGGAAGGTTCATTTAGTTTTTTCCTAATTTCCAATTCAATGGGGTCTGCAAGCCTCTTGCGGCCTTGGCGAGTTTTACTTGCATGGGAACTTCTTGAACTGGCTTTAGATATTGCTGGTGTAGGTGGGACCTCATTTGAATTTTCAGTTTCTTCTCCTTGGTGCACTTCCTCATCCGAAATACTAGAGATCGTTTCATCTTTATTCATAACTTGTAACAAAAATTGCAGCTGATCATGGTAAACATATTTTCGTTGTGCACCCTGTCCACTCTTTTTCTTAAGGGATCTAACAAACGCATCTCTTATATTTTGCCACTTTGTTGTAATAGCGTCACCTGAAATAGATGGTATACATAGATATTTTTTTCAGATATTTGGCAAGTGGAAACACGTTCACGGATATGCATTATGCCTACAGATTAGGAGTTTCAACCATAAGCAAGATTATAAAAGATGTTTGTCATAGTATTTGGAATATTTTGAAAGATGAATATCTTCCAACTCCAACAGTAGAAAATTGGAAGGACATTGCTGATGGATTTACAAGAAATGCTCAGTTTCCGCACTGCATAGGAGCTGTGGACGGGAAACACGTCCGCATTATGAAGTTTCCAGGCAGTGGATCGATGAATTTGAATTATAAACATTTTTTTTCGATAGTCCTAATGGCTATTGCGGATTCTAATTACCGCTTTATATACGTAGACATAGGTGCCTTTGGTAAGGATTGCGACTCATCCAACGACTTCATAAGGTTAGACTACGCATGTATACGTGTCATTGTTTGTAACCGCTTCAGGGGTGCAAGGGGACAGGTGAAGACTGTTTTGTAAACAAACGTTCGACGATTGACATTCATTTTCCATAGGCGTATCAATATTTTGTTTAAGTAGGTTACCAATTCATTCATACAGAATCTCATTGCACTTCAATGTACCCAAAATATCCGTGTTTCGGATTTTCACGATTTCAAGCGAGAAAAATTTGCAAGTTGTACAATATGTAATCATTATCCCGATATTGACTTGAACGAGTTCACAACTAAGAACGAGTTGTTTAAATAGACAATGTTCATGAACAATATCCAAAGTTTAGAGCCAGCATGCCATAAAATAAAATGTTCCCTTGCAAGGAATGCAATGTTTCCACCGAAACTAAAAAGTTGGCAGTGTGCAGTCACTCTAAATTATTGGGTACATTCAGTTATATTTGGTAGCATCTCAAGCTAGTCCCAAAAGAACATATTCTGATGCAGTGTATTTAAGAGGATTTGGGTTTCTGTAGGTTTATTATAATTTTTATAAAACAGTAACAGTGGATACAGGTAATGGGATAATTAAACAACAAATGTTTGAAATATTTTAATTCAGTTATTATAATAATAATAAAACGTCTTTAATAGAAATATGATATACACAATACAATAAATAATTTACCCCTATGTAGCTACTTTATCCAAACATATTAAATCTATATTAAACAGTATAAGAGGCGCGTACAAAATTTCAAAAGAATAAAAAGACAAAATTTACTCTTGAACGCAGTCACATTATAACCTCACACATACCCCAAGAAAAAGATGAGGCAGCATGCCATATGTAAGCTCATACTTATAGCTCTTGGTTGCTCAGTAGTAGGATATGAGAGATCAGGGTAGAGTTGATGTTGTAATTGTAAAGAACGATAGCAGCATGAGGACAAATAAAACAAGGTTGTAAAATTCAAACAATATTAGAAAAAAACCCCAAACAATAAGCAAAAATTGAGGTAAGAATCACATGAAAAGAATGATTTATCTTTTGATCTACTCTCGCAAAGAGTGGACAAATCTGAGTTTAAAACAGGGATGGTCCCATGCGCTGGTGGTGAAATGATGTGATGACTGTGCCCCATGTACAAGTGCAATGTTGGTGTAATGATCATAGCACTCAAAAAGGCGATGTTGGTTCCCCTCACCAAAAAGTAATGTTGGTGCCCCTCAAAGTGGAAGGTTTTATGATGATGATGTCCCATAGAAAAAAGGTATCGGTGATGGTGCCCCCCCCCCCCCCCCAAAAAAAAAGAATGGGAGAAAAGTTGGCTTCAAGTCCCATTCATCTCACAAGAAACACAAATCATTGACTTCTTTAATTTATTTTGATCATCTCGAATGATCTGAATCACGTAAACTCAGCTGAGGCGTTCTAACAGGTTGAAAGGTCAGAGATGAAAATAACAAAATGTAGAGAAAAATCATATCAAAGTTTTACTGATTTCTGGATAGTATGCTTTTTGTGAGGTCACTTCTGTATCGTCTACCAAATTCTGATGCTAAATTTGACTCGTGGTGTAACCTTAGCCTTATGTATTTAGCCAAAATCATCTTTGTCAGCTGCAGTGAATGATTGTTTTCGAAGCTATCATCTAGAACATGGTCACCAAATACTTCAAATATTGATGTATTTAACTTCCTTAGTGTATAGCTTACTAAGTATTTTTCGATGTTTCCAAGTTTATTGCTAAATATGCTGGAAATGGCTTTCAAGGACCTTACAGACCTCTCCCCTTCTTCACAGACTTTTATAACATAATTAGAAGCTCGTGTTAAGTTGCCATATTGCTTCCTTTTTTGCAACAAAGAACGTGTTTCACTGGATTCCATTAGCAGCAGGCATTCATGACAAGATACATACTTTTTCAAATTTTTCACCACAAAGCCAGATATGTATGCGACAATATCACAGACATACGGAGTTAGCTGCCACAGATGTAATGAACAACTACCAAATATTAAAACTTCTGTAGTATTCTCCATATAATCATCATTCTCTGAAAGAATGTTGCCACAATTAGTTTTAGTCAAAGTGTTGATATATGTAGTGCCTAGAATACTAGTGTTGTCCAGTGAAACAACATTTCCATACTTGGAGCCCTTAATGTCACAATGCAAAAGTAATCTCTTGAAAATACTTTCAAATTGTCGAGCAGTTGGATTATTATTACATCCTCCCTTACTACGCACTGCGCTAAAAAATAGCTCAATATGGTCTTGGGACAGCTTGTATGTCAATATGTAATTCAAGTATTTGAATTCAATGACATATTCTAGATAAAATTGCTGTAAACTAGCCATACAAATCAAAAATCCCAGGAAACCCGTTTTCCTTCTGCATTGAAGTACTGGGGTTGTTTCTGTCTTAAGACCTTCAAAGTATGTCTTGCACTGTTCCAAATATACAAATATCTGCTGAGCATTATTGACATCTAAGCCTTGTTTGAATTCGTATTTTGAGTATCTCGAATTACTATTAAAAATGTCAAAAATATTATTTATCATTTCAGCAAAGTTGGCAGTTGCTGAAGCACCTTCAAATTCTTTCAAACCTAAATCTGTTTCCAGAAACCTCAGTGCATCAGCAACACTTTTACTGAATGTTTGTGCTGCTAGGCATACCTTCATTTTTTCATTTTCCCATTTCACATGTCTTTCTTTAATTTTGGTAGCAGCTCTTAAGCCTTCATTGTTTTGAATGTTTACCAACTTTTCAAAGTATTCCCAAGAAACTAACTCATTTTGATCTGTCTTGAAATTTTTATAAGTTGCTAAGCAGTTCCTGATTAATTTTAGCATGTGACATGGATCGAGATAAACGTACACCCTGTGCGAATCAACTGGATGTGGGAACCAGGTTTTTAAGTTTCCAATTTTCAGATCAGCTCCCAAGTGTTTTATCATCGAAATATTTTGAGAGGCCCCATCAAATGTTACTGAACAAATGATAACACCTGTATCGTGAATAAAAGTAAGAAGATTTGATACTAAGTTTGCCTGTTCCTCTCCACTTAGACCATTGATGAAGAAGTATCCTACAGGTAGCTTCCATTTGCCATTTATAGCCACTAGCATCATAACCAATGCTTCTTTAACCTCAGGAAGTTTATCTCCATCCATATCAAAACCCAAGTCAATGTATCCTGTCCACTTTTGGCCATTCCATTCTATTCGCCGCCTAATTGCCATTGAATCCATGACCAGATTGCACAAAACTTTACGGCCATGCTTCTGTTCCGTTTGTACTTTACACAGTAAGTTGTTTTTTGCCTCCATGCTGAAGCCAGGTGCACCATTTATCCGTTGGTACCATTTTATTAGAGTATGGGGGTGTGGTAGACTTTTATTGAATTGCTCTCTCACAAAATCGTAAGCTTTTGAGCTATAAAAATGCAAAGTTAATGCAAAAGCTCTGAGAGAAGCATTATATTTTTGTTTTGACTTCCCCTTGATAAATCGTTTCAGAATTTCCTTTGTGCCATCATCCACTGATGCCTGAAAACAAATATATATTCATGGAATAATCATGTTACAAAGTAGAATATTATTGAAACTTTGCATAAAACCAAAAAAAAAAACATAAATCTTTTTCAGTATTGTAAACATGTTAAACTAAAATGGAAACAATAAGTTCTAGGCTAATTGAAGTGTGTAGCAGCATGCAACTGATACCTACATTCAAAACTAGTCCTGCATTTGGCGTCAAACCACATGTCTCCCTCAAATACTCCATTAATGATTGCTGGGAATATACTTTAGACTTCAGTCTGCGATTTTGCTGCTGAAGATTTTTAATTTTCTTTTTCAGAGACGCTATTGTTTTTTCTGCGCTACCTACAGTTTTGCCAGAAATGTTCCATACATGCTTATGCATTTTGGATCTGAAATAATAGATATTACTTTGTGTGCTCATCATTATCAATTTTGAAAACTTGAACTCACCTTTGCTGCATTATTTGCCTATGCCTAGTCATTTTCCCCGAGATGCTTGGTAGTTCTCTAGGTTCATCATCAGAGCTTGCAGTAACTGTTGCTGACAATGAGCTGGCCGACAGAGTAATTGAACTACCATTTCTTGCCAAAACAGTGTCAGAGTTGTTACTATAAACAAAAATATATGTCAAAATGAATGTATACAGTTGCAGTAAACTAATCCATTCGACTGATGAATAGTATTATTTAGTCACTAGGGACAGTAGAAAGCAAACAACATGTTATTGACCAAGAATTGGATTTTGTTGCCAAAATAATCAATTCAATTAAGTACAACAGTATAGCTGGAATTCGTTAAGAATAAAATAAAGCTTTAACTTCTCATGAATAGTGTTGTTTGGTCAACAAAGCAGTAAAATGGAAACAAAACTATTAACAATACAATTTTGTCATTCATTCAATGACCTGGGAACTATCAAAGTAGCTGGAATTCAACATATAAGGTCTTTAATGTGCATCAGAACTTGAATGAATAACAGCAATACCTTATATTGCATTCAGATGCTGTCACTGTAGTTGAAGATATTGACAAGACATCACAGTTGTCTGATTGAGGACTTGTCAGTCTCTTCAGCCCTCCATCTCTAACTGCAGCACTCATAGATTCATTCCTGCAAGAAAAAAACAAATTACTGTTAGTGAACCAAGCACTACAAATGAGTGTTAGCTAAAAACTGAAGAAACGAAGATTCAGTTCCTGCCATCTGAAAATGATTTTCCAAAACATAGGTACTCTAATGTATAAACAATTCATAACCTTTTCCGCTTAGGAGTAGAATGTCCAATTTTGGCATCGGTACTTGTGAAGGTGTGCTCATATTCAATGATGATCTCTGCAGGTTCAGACATCCTATTGCTACTTGTACTGATATCGACATCCGGGTTCTGATCCTCACAATGATCTGAGCCAACCAAATCCATTTCAGTAACTGGCAGCACGACGAACGAGTTGGAAAACTAGAAATACATAACCATGCGTTAAGCCATTATCATTATTCAAAATATTCCAAGTGAAATTGTTCTTATCAAGCTATTAAGAAACCTAGGACTAAGGACAACCCAACGACTTCATATGATGTCGTTGGGACGACCATGCATTTTGAGGTTATAAATGCGTTAATTACTTACACACGAAAACTCACGTTGGATTACTTCCAGTATGGTCTGCCACAAACTACACACACTTGTCTTTAATTATTGTCTATTTCTACCAATTTTTCACTCACGACTCACTGTATATTAGCTGCTTTAACACAACGGAACAAAGAGTTCACAGTCAACAAATAAACATGGGGCTGATAGAGTCAGACGCTTCATAGTCCAGTCAGTTTAAGCAAAAAAAATCGATGCGATACTGAAACGAGATACAGTCAGAGAAATACGCATTAATTATGTATGGACAGCTATTACATACGGGAATATTATGATTGAGAGTGATCAAATTCCATTATAAAGTGTTTTGCATCATACAGAGGCAATCCCAAACTAAAATAGCCTCAAATCAGGTATCTAAAATTACCTAACTATCAATAGCAGATATGTATACATACAGTGAGGGCTTGTTTGTTTATTTTTCGCGGCTTCAAACAATTCCCCTAGAACGCGTAGTCTAACCTTATGAAGTCGTTGGACTCATCAGTATTTAAAGAAACCGTGTTTTGGAAATTATTACAACAAAATGCCTTGAATATTCCCCACCCAAGCCCCCTAATTTCAACAGGAGACAATCTACCATTCGTCTTAGTTGGAGACCAAGCATTTGCACTTTCCCAGAATTTACTTAGGCCATATGGGGGCCATAGTTTAAATATTAATAAAAGAATTTTCAATTATCGCTTATGTCGAGCGCGACGGTACATAGAATGTTCGTTCGGTATATTAGTGAATAAGTGGCGAATATTTCACAGAGCCATAAATGTTGGTAAGGAGTACGCAAAAGATATTGTTAAAGCGTGCATAATTTTGCACAACCTAGTTCGAGAAAAAGATGGCACTCGTGTAGAAGATATGTACGCACCAGACAGAGAGCTACAAAATCTACCACCAACTACAGCATGTCGCGGTGGACGAGCTGCCAATGATGTTCGCGATAAATTTGCAGAATTCTTTGTAAGTCCAGAGGGATCCTTACCATGGCAAATGTCTAAAATTTAGCGCATAAGTTACTGCTTCTGGTTCTATTTAATGTCTTTATACTTAGATATTACTTTTACATTTAGGCAAGTGTTCTTTAAGTTTAAAGCTCAAATAGGTACATATGTACTAACCTAGATCTGTAACGTAGGCTGTAAATGTGAATAAATACAGGTAAAAACATGCACTTACCAATTTTTTGCTGTTCTTGTTCATTTAAATTATCGAAATTGGCTTCAAGGTATTTATGCACTTCTTTCCACTCACGTTTTTTCAATATCTTGTCTTTGTAAGTCTCGGAAAATTTATTCCACAAACAGGGCCTTGCTTCCACCAATTCAATGAGTGTAACAATGTCGTAATTAAATTTAGTCACACTCATATTAAGTATAACCCGTGTTCCAGCAACCAGTCAATACGCCAAACTACTCGTGCGACACTGAGTTTCAAAAGTGATATGACACACCGATAACGACAAGTCGGAACGTGTGAATGTGCCTATTTAGTTTGCATTGCGTACTAAACCGGGCGATAATTTACTGGCCGATTTTAACTCGACCATCCGACAGACGCAACGATATCGAACACGGCCACCGATATATTTATCGGGTCGGTTTTTGTGTAAAACTATTCATTTAAGGCAATGTATTTGTTAGGCAAACCGATACCGATACCGATAACTACACCGATAATATCGGTGTGTGTGAAACCGCGCTAAAGGAATGTGGTCGTACGTCTTTTTTCCGTACGACCATATTTCTTTAATGCACTAAAGGAATGTGGTCGTACGACCAAAATCGTTAGGCAGAATTCATACCAAAGCAATGAGCAACTAGCAACTACCAACTTGAAACATGCAACATGTGATATTGCATCGGTTCTGAATTCACACCAAGCGGCAACGTCGTTATTGGATACGTCCATTTAATCTACAAAGTATAAAACACAGTGCACATGTGGTTGCTAAGGAATTAAATATGGATAATGAAAAATTCAAAGGATTCTACAGAATGAATCAAGATACTTTTTTTTCTTTACTGTCGTTAGTTGCCCCATTTATTACGAAAAAAGATACCAATTACTGAGAGGCAGTGAGTGCAGATGAACGCCTTCTTATTACTTTAAGGTAAGTTATACACTTTAATTAGGTATTCGTGGTTTAGTTATTTTACAAAAAAGTTTACAACGTGGACTCATTCATTTGATATGTCGAAAAATATTGGTCTGCAGACGTTCCAGGAACACTTATTAAATTTTGATGATTTTCGTCACAGTTTGAAAGAGTTCTGGAATGGGTATTCGCCCGATCCAAATCTGTACGGTGCTGATTATCAAGCCAGGACGTCACTGTTGAGGGAACAGATGTCTCGTTTAAATTTGGCCCACTGCTACTCCAGGAGTTCAGTGCTGATGGTGTATGTAGCGCTTCATTCTGTTGCTCACCCAAAATATTATCAATCATTTGAAGCATAGACGTTTTGAATTTTCGCTTTCGCCTAGGATCCATTTTTTTAACATCTGGTAAAAGACTCCGAAGAAATTCCAAATCGGCGTCCTCTGCTGTGCTTTGCTTCTTTATATATTCCACAAAACACTTATCAGCTTCACTTTCGACAGCTGAAGTTGAATATGTAGCAGGAGTTTTGCGAAACTTTTTTTGTGAATTTTCAGTAGCAAGTTTGGAATGCTTAGATGAATGTGGGGTCTCTGTATGATGCTCCGAGGTATTTGCCTGAGTTTCCACATCACCTTCGTTCTGACTTTGAGAATATTGATCCTCATTCTCCTGAGTACTTACATCCGACATATTCGTTGTGTCAGTGGCAGGGTCATTTTCACTGCTAGGGGATAGTAAATTTCCGGATTGAGATCTCGATTTAATGAAAGGTACAAGGAATTGCAATACGTGTTGAAGGTAATATTTATTTTTGTTAACTCCTGAGCCAGATCGAGGTTTTTTTTGAGCTCGACTAAACGCTGTGCGGATGTTCTTCCATTTCTCTTTACATTGTGTTGCTGTAACAAAATATCTATATGGAGCTATATTATAATACTTAACTATTCTATAGAAGAACCCAGACTGATAATTTAAAATTTGTAGGTATTTAGCAACGGGGAGTAGCTTCGCAGCGTTATATTTTCAATTCTTGCGAGGATGCAGTACAATCAGCTACATTATAAGAGAAACAACAGCCGCAATTTGGAAATGTCTACAGCCCCTGTACATGCCGATACCGAACGAAAGAAAATGGAAAACGGTAGTTGATCGGTACTATGCGCTTTGGAATCTACCAAACTGCATGGGATCACTTGATGGAAAGCACATCCGAATTAAGAAGTTCCGTAAAACAGGATCCCAAAATTTCAATTATAAAGGATATTTTTCTGTGGTTTTGATGGCCTTAGCTGACGCAGATGGAATGTATATATCAATTGATGTTGGTGATTATGGAAGAAACAGCGATGGCGCAGTATTTAAAACAAGTAACTTAGGCCGACTGCTTTCTCAAAATATGTTAAGTGTACCACCACCACAACCTCTTCCACGTGATAGACGGGATAATATATTTCCATTTTATTTTTGCGCTGATGAGGCATTTCCTTTAATGAAAAACGTTATGCGTCCATATCCACAAAGAGTTTTAAATGACAAAAGAAGAATATTTAATTATCGTCTGTCACGAGGGCGCAAAAGTGTTGAATGTTCTTTTGGTATGTTAGTTAGTGAATTCAGAGTTTTTGAAACTCCTATTGCTTGTGGAGAGGAATGTGTTGATGACATAATAAAATCTGCTTGTGTTCTACACAATTTTATCGGCATAAAGGAAGGACGTTTCACAATGTCAGGTGTAGCGCATGATGAATGTACCTCACAAGAAAATCGGATTGCACTTTTATTACAGTCAGCGTATTCCGAAATTAATGAAAATAGTTCAGCAATAACACTACGAGATCTGGCTGATTATTTTGTATCGCCCGAAGCTGCAATCCCTTGGCAGTGGAATGATTGTATTAACCAATAACAATATGATTTAATATATATCACAGTCGTTCGTCTCGCAGCATCCGATAACAATAAAATATTTATAAAAAAAACATTGTTTTCTTCCCTGATATTTTTGCTTCTTTAGCCACTAAATTCCAGGTTTTTTCAACAAATTGACGTTTAGCATATTCGGGATGGGTATAGTCGTACAAACAGGGATATTTTTCGACAATTTGCACAAAGATTATATTTTCTTTCTCTTCCATTTTAAACAATTATTAAAATAAGTCTTTACGATCTAGCGATACGTATCTCTAGCGACTGGCAGTCGATGTTGCTACCGATACAAATCGTATGTTGCCGACAGATAACCTATAGGACAATATCGTCGTCGTTTTGATGTGAATAAACAACACAAGCAACGTGTGTTTTTTCTAAGCGATAAGTGTTGCCTATCGCCTGTTGCTAGTTGCTGATTGCTCATTGCTTTGGTGTGAATTCTGCCTTACGTGTGTAAGGAGCGTAAATGAACTGTTATTTTATTTTCGGTCTTATACATTTGCTGTTTGATTATGTCCATTTGCTCTTTACTGTGAATGTACACATGCAAGGGTTGTCCCACTTGTTGAATGTAATTTGAATTTTCGCTGCATTAATATCAAATCCATGATATCATCATTGTGACGGTCTAATTTCGATTTTGCGTCTGTTCTAATTTTCTTGAAGACGTGATGGGACTTAATTTTTTGAAGATTACAGCTGTTTTGAATCAAATTTTCATTTGAGTGGTTATACGCAATAGTTTGCGTGAGTATTGGGCACTTATCAATAAATTTATTCCCGATCAAGCCTCTCTCTATTCCGCGGACTTGTCGAGTAAGCAACTGGGTATGTACAAAATTACGCGAAGAACTATACACATTTACTTTGTATCCGCTAATGTCACAATCATAGAAATTGCATTTTAGAATAAACGTTTTGCAGTTCGGGTGTCCGCAATACCCAAAAATCGATAGTTTTTCTCCATTTTTGGAAAAATGATATTTTTTTACGTTGAATATACATGTTTTGAACATTTTCTCTTTTATAACGAATTCATAACTTTTGTCGTTTAGTACGTTGTTTCCCATATATATACTATTACACTTAGTTTCGCTTAACGAAAATTTCCCCTCAGCATGTTGACATATGAATTTACGATCAAATTTGTGACGTAGCAATGGAGAAACATTGCCGTCATTGTTAATATTTTTACCGCCAACTGGTAAACAAGAAATTTCTCCGACACTGAAGGTACTCTCAAAAATATTGAATACTGCACTATCTACCTCCAGCTCTGAATCTGTTACGCTCCCCGTAATACAAACTTTCAAAGAATCATTATCGCCTGTGAGTTTATGTCCCTGCGCAACACTATCATTTTTACCGCTCTCCAATGTAAAAGCAATTTCCCCCTAGACAAATATATCATCGAAATCAGTGCAAACCACATTATCTATATCGTGACCTGAATCATTTGAAACTGATACGTTTCCCCATGAACTATGTGTTAAGGGGCCTATTCACATGCGAGCATGTCCGGCGGATCTGTCCGACGGACAGATCTGCTGCGCGCTACTGACATGCGAATTTGTCCGTATACATTCACCGACAAATCTGGATAGACGAAGTTTTTGGTTCATTCAGTTACTGATTTCCGCGTTGTGAAATGGATAATAAAAAGAAACTTGCGATAATTGGAGGATTCATAGTTTTATTTGATGAAAAGAAGAAGAAAAGACTGTGGTCAAAGCGGTGGTTCTTAGAAAGAAGAAAGTATTCTCATATGAGTTTAATTAGAGAACTCCAAACAACAGAGCCTCATGATTTGCACAACTTTTTACGAATGGATAAAGAAGCATTTGAAATATTATTACAATATGTAGACCCATTAATCCAAAGAAATACCACCCATATGAGAGAAGCAGTGAGTAGCAGAGAGCGATTAATTGCTACGCTACGGTACTTAGCAACTGGAAGGAGTGTTGAAGACTTG